TTTAACTCCTCTTCAGATAGAAATCACACTGGTAAAACTAACTCTTTATAGACAGTGTTTTAAAGAGACACTATTGGATTTAAAACCGTATTTTTAAAAATGTATGTCCTTACCTATGTTAACATTGCATACGTTACTACAACTAGAATCTGTGCTGTTCACACATTTTGTATGTCTCTCAACCTGGACAATGAAAATAGATCTGTCATTTCTGTTTCTAGTTCATTTCTCTTTCAGCTTCTTATGCGCTAATACAATGGAAAAGTAGCTGAGAAGCAAGGAATGCAGGGAAAATCTTATTGGTTTAAAAACTTGCTCTGGATTTTAAAAAGATACAGCACAGAAACATTTCTACAGACCTGAGGTTATATGTAAAAGCTTTAAAAACAAACAAACAAAACATTTTTAAAACAAAAAATTGGGCTAAACATAAGCTAATCCAGGCCCTTTAAACCTTGCACATTGATTGAGGAACTGAAAGAAGCCAAAGTCTTTGGTGGTTTAAACACAGTTCCTTTTCTCTACTTCAACTTTTTACTCCGAGATGTATGTCTGGAAGTTATTTTTATAACAGGTGCAGTCTGCATTTGATGCACATCAACGTTCATCTCCACAGTTCTACCTGCAAACTGGCACTAAGAAGCACAAACGTCTGACATATGAGGAAAATAAAGTTACAACGCAAATAAGCACAAGGCACAAGATCCCATGGGTTTCCCTACCCATATTCAATTCACACAAACCACAACACCTCCCTGTCGGTGAAGATCAAGATACTGATTGAACTAGTAGCCTGTGGAAAGAGATGCTGTGCTAACTGGAAAAAAAAATCTGATGAATATAAAACTATCCATTTTCTTGAGTCTTATACACGATCCTCCCCTGTAGGGTTCCCACTTTTGTGAAAATATTCAGTCAGTGGGTTCCTCTATGGAGATTTTTGTCAGTATACCTGATGGGGCCGAACTGTAACGTCCAAAAAGCAAAGTGAACCTACCTATTGCTTCTTCATAGAAGGAACAATGGTCTGAACACAAAACCAATCATGATTTTTAAGTTATTTTAATTGAGATTTTCACTGTCCAGTTCGGGGCACCACACCTTAGGGAAGATGTGGATAAACTGGAGAGACTCCAGAGGAGAGCAACAAAAATGATGATAGGTTTATAAAACCTGACCTATGATGAAAGGTTAGAAAAACTGGACATGTTTAGTCGTGAGAAAAGAAGACTGAGGGGGAACCTGATAAGCTTCAAGTATGTTAAGGGTTGTTCTAAAGAGGACAGTGATCAGCTGTTCTCCATGTCCACTGAAGGTATGACAAGTAGTAAACCGTTTAATCTGTAGTAAGGGAGATTTAGGTTAGATATTAGGATAAACTTCCTAACTATACATGTAGTTAAAATATGGAATAGGCTTCCAAGGGACGTTGTGGAATCCCCGTCATTGGAGGTTTTTAAGAACAGGTTGGACAGACACCTGGTAGGGATGGTGTCATAACTATAAAGGGAAGGGTAACAACCCTCCTGTGTACAATACTATAATCCCTCCTGGCCAGAGACACCAAAATCCTTTTACCTGTAAAGGGTTAAGAAGCTCAGGTAACCTGGCTGACACCTGACCCCAAGGACCAATAAGGGGACAAGATACTTTCAAATCTTGGTGGGGGGAAGGCTTTTGTTTGTGCTCTTTGTTTTGGGGGTTGTTCGCTCTTGGGACTAAGGGGGACCAGACATCAATCCATGTTCTCCAAATCTTTCTGAACAAGTCTCTCATATTTCAAACTTGTAAGTAACAGCCAGGCAAGGTGTGTTAGTTTTATCTTTGTTTCCTCAACTTGTAAATGTTCCTTTTGCTAGTGTTTACCTCTGTTTGCTGTAACTTTGAACCTAAGGCTAGAGGGGGTTCCTCTGGGCTCTTTGAATCTGATTCCCCTGTAAAGTTATTTTCCATCCTGATTTTACAGAGATGATTTTTACCTTTCTTTCTTTAATTAAAAGCCTTCTTTTTAAGAACCTGATTGATTTTTCCTTGTTTTAAGATCCAAGGGGGTTGGATCTGGACTCACCAGGAATTGGTGGGGGAAAGGAGGGGGAATGGTTATTTTCTCCTTGTTTTAAGATCTAAGGGTTTGGATCGGTGTTCACCAGGAAATTGGTGGAGAAGTCTCTCAAGGCTACCCATGGAAGGGTTATAGTACTTGGGAGGGATATATTCTGGGGGGAGGGTGGTAGACAGAGTTTCCCAAATGACTCAAATAATTTGGGTGGTGGCAGTAAAACCAGATCTAAGCTAGTAGTTAAGCTTAGAGATTCTCACGCAGGTCCCCACATCTGTACCCTAGAATTCAGAGTGGGGAAGGAACCTTGACAGATGGTCTAGGTTTACTTGGTCCTGCCTCAGGCTGGAGGCTGGCCTTGACCTCTCGAGGTCCCTTGCAGCCCAACATTTCTATGATTGTTAACCCAACCTTTAACCGATTTATAACTAAACTGATAAATTCTTTGGAATAACTTTGATAACATAAGTAGTAATGCATTTTATTCCAATGTGACACTTTTTCAGGACTTTATTCCTTGCCCTACAAATCTGCACACTCAATTGGCACTTTCAAAACAACAAGAAATAACTGGATTCCGAGGGACAGGCTCAACTGCATATGAAGAAAAGTTATAGATCTCACAGAGATGTCTGATACACCTCCCCATGTATATACTAAAATAATTTTAACTCCATTTCAGTATACCATGGTAGTGACCTGATGGGCCTTCCTTATAGCAAAAATGGAGATCTAAGATGGATTTGTACAAAACTCTCTCAATTCACTTCTGAAAGACAATGTAGTTTGCTTCCTGTGCAAGAGAAAATAAAAATATGCTACATTTAACCTGTTTAAAACTATCCATTACAACAGGAAAAAACCTTGCAGGATATTTCAGGATATTCAAATGTGTTATATTTAACTTGAATTATCATTTTAAATCACCTATTCAAAATTTGGTGATGGGAGAGAGGATTCCTTTGTGGATATCTGCTGTTTGAATTATAACCAGTAAAACATAAATCAGTCTAAATTTATCTTTAATCTTTTGTGATACCTTAATTTACATGTACTTCACATGGAATACACATCATTTAAAAGGAAAAGCTGTCTCCAGCTCCTATCTGTCAAAACCCATTAAGGTAAGGGTTTTTCTTAGCCTGGAAGATTTTAGTCAGTCTTACAGCCCACAATCAAGAACTGTTGTTTCTGAAGACAATACATTCCACTGAATTCTCTAGTAGTTGTATCTATTTGCAAATTCAAAATTAAAAAGGTGATGAAAGGTAAAGACAAGCAAGTTATTGAACAGGCTCTAATAATTTTTTTCAGTGATTTATCTGCCCAGCTCTCTTTTTCCCTTTCTCTCCCACAGTGTTACAAACCAGTTGATGTATGAGAAAGTATTATTATGAAGCTGCTACCATCCCTAAAATTAAAGCTGAAACTGGTGTTTTTGCTACAGACCTGATTTAAGGGGGAGAGGGACAGTGCTGGTCTTGTCTGTTGAAACTATTGTGCTAGAAGTTGACATAAAATTTGTTCTTTTTAAACTAAAACTGTTTCAAGGGTTTTTTGTTGTTGTTGGAGAAAAATGTGAGTTAGTTTTAGATTCCTTTGTGTCAAATACTAGCCCAAACATTCTGCTTAAAAATAAAATCAAAATAAACTTGGCAAGTGTTAGATTCTAGCACTTCTAGTTTGTGTGTACTGAATTTATTATGATAAATAGAAATTGCCAGGATATTAAGGTTTTGAAAAAGTAGCTAGTGAGTATGAACAATGATATCTAATTTCACTATCACCAGATGGGACTTCATGTAATCTGTACTATCCCACAATATCACCCCACACCATCAAGGTGAATGCTTGTCAAGTGCAAGTCTATAGAAATGATGCTAACAAATGCATGGAAGGGAAAATACTACCACCAAAGAAGGAAATTTGACAAAAAAATGCACACACAATATCATGTGTTTATAACAACGCTTCAGTTGAGACAAGCCAGCAAGTTACAACAGCACATATTGACCTTCTAAGCACAGGGATCGGCAACCTTTGGCACGCGGCTCCCCGGGGTGGGCCGGGCCAGTTGGTTTACCTGCTGCGTCTGCAGATTCGGCCAACCGCAGCTCCCACTGGCCATGGTTCACTGCTCCAGGCCAATGGGGGCTGCGGGAAGTGGCGTGGGCTGAGGGATGTGCTGGCCGCGGCTTCCCGCAGTCCCCATTGGCCTGGAGCGGAGAACCGCCGCTAGTGGGAGCTGCGATTGGCTGAACCTGTGGATGCGGCAGGTAAACAAACTGGCCCGGCCCACTCTGGCGAGCCGCGTACCAAAGGTTGCCGATCCCTGTTCTAGCAGCTGTCTGAACAGCAAGCAATCTTTAATGAAATTATGTATTAAATGATAATTAAGCGCAACAGGATAGCGGTAGTCCTGGAACAGAATTTCCTTGCTTTTACTGGGTGATGTATTACTTCAAAAAAATTTGTTCCTAATTATTCAGCCTATTAGGCCAACATTTTTGATACTAAAAATAACATTGTCTCTTGTGCCTTGAAGCACCAAAGCCTAATAGGTCCTCCACAGCAGTCTATGTTGCATTAAAAAGTAGTTTCGTGCAATAGGAAGTGAGGTTTGAGATTCCAGCTCAGTCCCTCACTTTGGGGCCAGGAGCACTAAACAGGGTGTGCAGACCACTTCAAATTGTTCTTCAGCAACTCCTCTGGCTGAGTTGGAGGACCCATTGTTGAATAACTCCAGAGGAACAATAAGCAAGACACTGGGACTTTTAAAAGTGGAGAAAACAGGACAGAGGTCTTCTGCATTCCATAAAAGACTCAGAAGAGCACCAGGGGAAAAACAGAACACAAATCTAAGTCAGGTGAAATTCCTTTTCTCCTTAAGCACAACAAACCATCTTTCTATTTTCCAACGACTTCAAACGCTCCTACTTACCAAGGTGTGCCGTTTCATGTGCTCCCTGCGTGTGAATTTTTTCCCACAGATTTCACAAGGATAGGGTCTTTCTCCTGTATGGGATCGCATGTGTCTCTTCAGGATACACTGATGCATGGCTGAGAAACTGCAGTATGGGCACTTGAATTTTTTTCTGATGACTGTGAATTCGTTTACTGAAAAAGAGCAACCCAAGAAAGCAGGTTACAACTTAAAACATTTCAAATAATCCATTTTCTTGCTTAATGTTCATTAATGTTTTTGCTGTCAGACCACATTCCCACTGTTTTACGCTCCGCATAAGGAAAACATTTAACAAGTTCAATTATGTTACACTGTCTTTCTAATGTCTGCCTTATTAAGCGGCAGATTTTAACTAGGGTACTTATACTGTGTCAACACAGCTGGGAACTTCAAGTATCTCCCCCAGAGAAACTTGTTGATAAGACAGTACACCAGGCTGTCAAATATTTGGCAACAGCAAAAGAATGACCCAATTTCCTTAATGTCTGTTAAAGTACAAAACAAAAGGGGACTATAATCTGCTATAATGCTAAATTATTTTCAGGAATTAGTTGGCCAACAGAGAGATCTGAAATTCAAGCATAGTTCTAGTTAGTGACAATGCCTTGATGTACTGAAACAGCTACATGCAGAATCAGGTCAGAAATAACTGGCTGTGAAGAGAGGATCACAAATGTGACATGTCGATAGCAGTATGCAGAATTTCTCTTTAAACCCCTAAGTAAAACGAATGAGTGAAATGCAGTTTATAATAAACCAGGTACCATGGCAGTATTTCCATTAATGTTCAAAGATTGAGGGGCATCTTGAACAAATATAGAGTTCACCATGCAAGCATTTAACAGTAACCATCTTTAAAGTAGTATTACTATTGCTGCAAGTATAGAGAGTAGCAAAAAGCGGATACAAAATGTTGAATTAAAGCGCAGTTCTTGAAAGAGTGTTCACAGTCCAAATTGTATAATCTTTGTTAGATTAATTTTCTTATCACATTCTCCGGAATGATTTGGAAGAGAATGAATTTTTATAAGTTATTCCTGTGCTGTCAATATTTCTCCTTTTGCCATCCTTTTAGAGGTAAAGTGCACTCAAACTGGACTCTAGGGACACATACAGTATTGACAGCCTAAGGGTCTAATTTGCCAGCAGAGTGCACATAGAAGCTGTGTTGATGTTTCCCCCTCCAAATAAAAATGAAAGTGGAACATGCAAAACAAAGCAGGGGAAAACAGAAGATCTGATATTCCTTAATGGAACCCACGCACTATACATTTGGAGGTCATTGTCCTTGTGCATGTAGCATTTGATATCTTCTCATTAATAATTTTCTTGGTTGCCATTACTATATGTTAAATATTACCCACTTCAATGATCATCTTTGCCCAAAGCAGTTTTACTGCTAGTAAGGAACTGGATTCTTAATCTTAAGGATACTGGTTTGCATTCAATAAAAGCAAATTCTAGTTGACATCTTAAACCTTGGTGGGCTTAAATATGCTATTGTTCTAGGTAGATGGCAAACCAGCGTTGTGTTTTCAAATGAAGCACCGCATGTAGAAGAGTGAAGGAAACAAGGGAAGTCTAATGTCTATTATGGTCTTATGTCATTGAAGGTACCAAGTTAAATGATAAGCTGCTTACTCAAATATTACATCCTGCAAAGATCCCACTAGCTAAGTCAACACTGAGAGCTCTCAGCATCTCAGACTCGCGCCCTTCAAGTGCAATTGTACTCTGAAAAATGAACTATTTTAAAATGACATCTTTTTACTCAGCAGGCCTGTTTCATCAGCTTACTCTGGTGACCAGTTATTTTTAAAAATTTACTTTTATTTGCATTGCAGAGCAAACACAACGAGAGGGGGAACTAGGTTTGATTCCTCATGCAAACACAGTGCAGACACCCTCCTGAAAAAAAATGCCCCAGAATTGTGCTGGGCTGCCACATGCCATTTTCCAGATAATGCACAAAAGTGGTCCTAACAAGAACTGGTTGGAACATTTTTGACTAAATATATTTTCATTGAAATATGTTGTTAACTCGAAGAGTCCATGTTTCAGAGACTTATCAGTTTTCTAAGGTCCAGGGCTTTCTGGTAATTTCTGACAAGAGAGAGATGCCCAAATTGAAAATCTGATCTTTTCGATAAGAAAAATTGACATTTTAACACAATTCCACTTTGTGGAAACATTTGGAAAATTTTGTTTTCGTTCTAACATGGAATGAAATCAAATTTCAACAACTCAAATATTGCCATGAAACAGAATTGTCATCCTCTGGCTGGCTCTAGTCCTGACCACTTAGAGAGAAGATCCAAAGTATAGTTTCCTGCTCCAGCAAATGGGGCAGTTATTTTTAAATCTACCTCTAAATCTCCTCAAATCAGCACTTTGAACTTAACAGTCCTCGTATCTTGTCCCAAACTGTTGCTCTGTTGTGTTCTATAGCTTGTGTGTTCCACCCTGAAGTTATTTAAAGCAGCCCTGGAAAACGGTCATGAAAATTTACTAGTCCAAGCACAAAACCTATTCATCCACCTGTACCATGGTGACTATAATGATAATAATGAAAAACACAAAGACTATTTTATTCACTTGTCAGAAAAGATTACCCACTCCTGTCAAGTAGAATTTCCTAAGGTTAGTTTAAAGGGATTACAAACATGCATGCAAACTGCTTTGGGAACCTATGGGATGAAAAGTGCAAAATAAATGAAAAATAACACACCTGAGTTCCCGGCACCATTCTCTCTCAATAAAGCACGTTCTAATATCCATTGCTCTGCGCCAGCTATTGTTGATAAAACAATAGCAACAGCTTGCTTGCATAGTCACTGTGCTACCAGTATTTAACTTCTTACTTGTAAAGCACTGTTGAAATAAACTAGAGAATGGAAAGGTATTCTAGTCTATTTTATTCTTCCAACTTGCCTGGGAGAACTTAAAGTAGATGAAAAATATTTTGCCTTTGTATCGTATCTAACACACTTCCCAGTCTATTTCTTTTATAAGCAATCTTTAGCACGTTTGAATATTGTGAAGGACAAAGATATTTATGATAATCTGTTACCAATTTGAACAGGGGATAAGATCTCTCAGCTGCTTGACTACTAACAATAGGTTATACAAACAAAACATTTGCACACCACAGGATCACCATAACCCAAATACTACAGAATCTAGACAAGGTAAGCAAGCTATCAGCAGATCAGGTAAGATCAGCCAAGGTCATCTAAACCTCCCACAGCTCCAAGGCTATTTTCAGTATTGTTTAACAATTTAAACCGAACATACGTAACTTAATACAATCCTTATGTCGTTCCCAGCTATCCAGCTCTGTTGGATTCCTTCAGAGGTGGTTATTTACAGGAATTAAACTAGTCACAGATGCAGTAAACAAGGCTCCTGCAGGTCCACCTTTGTGAACAGGTGGTGTTCCTTCTCATGTACAGTTAACCAAATCAGTTAAAAAAAATGCTGACCTAGTATGGAATACTAATTCAAAACAAATTGGGTCCTTTCAATGAAAATGCCTCAAATTAACAGCAAATTTGTTACATTTTGGATTAGCTTTCACCATCACCTAAAAAAATGTCATTATAGTAATCTATTGGTGAAATACACTATAAATAAATGCAGGTCTTGATCCTCTTACCGATGGGGTGTAGGAAATTTTCCCCAGTGGGTGTGTGAAGGAGTGCTGAAGCTATCCATTTCTGCAGAATTTAAGATGTTCTTAAGAAAAATCAAGTGTAATCCTTGAAGCTGCAAAGAGAACCATCTAAATGAGAATGGATACAGTACTGCCTTCCTGTGGACTTGTCTACATTATCTGCTGGATCGACGGGCTGTAATTGATCCAGCGGGGGTCGATTTATCGTGTCTAGTATAGACACGATAAATCGACCACTGAGCGCTCTCCTGTCGACTCCGGTACTCCACCGGAGCAAGAGGAGCAGGTGGAGTCAACGGGGAAGAGTCAGCAGTCTACTCACCGCAGCGAAGACATCGTGGTGAGTAGATCTAAGTACGTCGACTTCAGTTACATTATTCAAGTAGCTGAAGTTGCTCAACTTAGATCGATCCCTCTCCCGCCCCCAGTGTAGACCAGACCTGAGTCTGCAAAGACAGACAGTTCTAAGCGCCTTTGCTGCTGCTGGCATTTAAGTGGAGTCAAGCTGACAAGACTATGGTTAGTTTCACTGTTGCTATTCAGAATCCTGACAACAACAACGAAACTGTAAATCAGTTTCACACTGTCCACCAAGAAACCTCTTACCAGCAACAGAAATAGGTACTGGAACTATTCAGAAGAGGTAACATAGAACAGAAATTGAAAGGCTGGAGTAAGTCACAACAACAGTACGGGGCTGTTTGGAATAGCAATCGAAGAAAAAAATTGCTGGTGTTTCAACGGCAGAACTTCACGTAGGCAGAATGTAGTTAACAGAGTTACAATTAGCCAGGATGCCACCTATACTTAGTGCCATGGGAGTACTCACAGAAATTAAGTGCCCCCAACACCATTCTGTGATACGGTTTCAATTCTGATTTGTAGATTACAAAGGCAAGAAAAGAAGGGATTACTGTCATCTTGTATAATTCAAACCATAGGACTTCCCTGAATTAATTCCCAAGTCAAATATTTTACCAAAATCTAAGTATATTCCACCAACACTATTATAATCTTTATCAATCAAACTTGTAATCTCGTTTAAAATAAAGATATCAAGTTTGACTCGATTTGTTTTCTGTTAACCAAAGTTGACTGGCATTAATTATATTACTCTTTTTTAACTCTTTATTAAAAAAGTCCCATAACAGCTATTCCCTTAGTTTCTTGGGATAGACATCAAGCTGACAGGCCTATAGCAACCCATGTCATCCTGCTTATCCTTGAAAATACTGGCATCACATATGTTTTCTTCCAGAGTTCCAGAACTTCCCCAGTGTTCCAAGAATTATTTAAAAAAATCAATGTGAAACTCAGAGGTAAGAATGCCACTTACTGTACACATTACTTCCTACAATACTAAGATGCCCCTGGGAGGGCTTCCCTCAACTTATTGTCCAGACAACATATGGTTTAAGCTTGTGAAGCTAAATAAATTACAGTGCAACATTGCATGTGTTACTGCAGACATAGAAGTCC